AGGCACGGTTTAATAACCGAGCATCCTTTTTTCACCCCACCATCGCAAACACGCACTGTGCCAAAATATTACGGCTTAAAAAATTTTAGATAAAAATTTTTACAATCGCCTCCAATCAAGCGTGCATTTGGGTACAAGCAAAACATCAACGAAGCAAAAAAAAAGAAAAAAAATCATCGAATTTAATCCTCGACACGTAGCTGTAACATACACGCGCGCGCGCACACACGCACACACAGAGCATCAAAAGGCTCGTCGACAAGAGGAGAGCAGCAGCGACTCCCCCATCTGAAATATAAAAATGCACCGAACAAAAAGACTAACTCTCTCTCTCTCTCTCTCTCTCTCTCTCTCTCTGCTGCGCCGAGAGCAGGAGAGGCAACGACTCGTAAAAAAGGAGGAATAAGGAAGCTGCGCGCGCGAGAATGACCGGAGCGAGCCAAGGAGAGAAGATCACGGGAGGAAGGAAGAGAGAGAAAGAGAGAGAGAGAGAGAGAGAGAGAGAGAGGTGAATGCACGATTATGTGATCATCCGAAGGACGTGCTCCTCCTTTTTTACGGTCAGAGCCAAAAACTCGTTTTCATTGGGACACACGAAAGGGCCGAGCGGCAAATAAAAGAAAGCAAAAAACATATATAGATATATGAGTGAAAGCAAAGAGGGGAGAAGAATTTGACTAATGCGAAGGCGGCAATGCAAACGGCTTGCGGCCTTTTATCGTACACATGGCCAACTAGCTGGCCGACTGTGGGATTTTCGATGCCAAGTCACTGGGATTTCTCACTCTCTCGTTCGCTCACTTGCATCTTATATTTTGCCGAAAATTAACGTACCGTCGCCACAGGATTTTGGCTTCAATTCCACGGCAGGTGAAGTATTTTTCTTTGGCGAGAATGTTATTCCAGCGCTGAGGCGCGTCCACTTTTAAAGTGTGTTTAAGCGATAATTTTATTGGTGATTGCGTGATTATCGAAAATTACAGTGGCGTCCCATAGTACTGCCTTATTGCTACCTAATGTTTCAAATTTCCTAAAATATGCCAAGTTTAAACAATTTTTCAGTAATAATCGCAACGCTTGAAAAGATAGCGTAGAAAAATATATGAATTCACTAGCAGGCTATTCAGTCATATGTCTTGCAAGCGGAGCAAAAAAAAAGACGCAATCGCTGTTTCACTGTTACGGACTTTTATCCGCTGAACAGTAGTAGTAGTACCCCGAGTGATGACTTGGCGAAACGCTTGAAAACCGGCGTAGGGCACAAAGCAAAGGCCTGCAGAGCGATCGAGAAAAGCGGATATTAATGAAAAATGAAAAATCATCGACACGAGAAGAGAAAGAGAGAGAGAGAGAGAGAGAGAGAGAGATGGAAGTCCGTAACTACGGGACAGAGATATCAGGTTGACCCCCTGCAGAGACGGCGGCGGCGGACGAGCCACCCAAGGAGCCGCGCATGCGCGCGAGCACGCAACTCTTGAAAACTAATCACTATAAATTCTCGATCGCAGCAAAGTGAAATTGCTCACGGCCAATGCGGCGGGGTGGGTGGAGAGGGATGAGGGGGGGAGATATAATTTGCCACGAAAAAAAGCCAAAGTCGGAAATTCCGCGAGCATTGTAAGCGCACCAGCGAACGAGACTCGTAACAATAGCCCCGGCGCGCGCTCTACGTTTATAGAGCATCGCCACGGAGAATTTTCCATCTGCAATTGTTGTATGTACGGGCCGCGGCTGAACAAATCTCGCGGCTACAGCGCGCGGCCACCTGCGGGTCGGGCGCGCGCGCACTTTCTACCAATTACGCCTTGGAAAAAGAGTAGCCGCGTGTATTTTATCGCTAGCGTGGCATCGAGAATTTTCAATAACGCTCCAAAGCTCCACACACGGCTGCGCAAAAACTCGTAAATAATCGCGTCTCGACAGCTTTTCCTCAAATTGGAGGCAAGATCAAAAGCCGTCGATGTAAAACGAGGAAAAAAATAAGGTGAGTGCACTTGCGCAAAGTATCTTTCTCTCGCCTCTCTCTCTCTCTCTCTCTCTCTCTCTCTCTCTCTCTCTCTTCCTCTATACACACACACACACAGCTGCGAGTGAAAACGATTATTTTTCAGTATTGTCACGCCCGCCTTTTGCCGTATATTATAGCTGCGGGTGTATAAGCACCGCGTATCTGGAACAAGGATGTCGGATCTTATCGGACACCCGCCAGGGAAATTAATAACTCTCGCCGCCGTGTGGCATATACGTGCTCCACAAAAAATTCACCACTACACCTATACGCTCTCTCTCTCTCTCCCTGGCAATGTTATTACGTTTCCTCCGAAAAAAACCAAGAGAAAACTGAACTTTGAATACGGCTCTATTAACTACACTTATATGTATAACGTATCGAATGCGAAGTGAATTCGCTCGGAACGCGGTTTGTAGCGGTCCGCGAGTTTTAATTGAATAAGGACCCTCCTCAGATAAAATTCCTTAACGGTACGTTTAGTTCGGCTTTACACGCGCGGACAGCTATTGTTCGACTTTTTCTCCTTCTCTCTCGTCTTCTTTTCCTCTTGTTTCTTCACGCCCTTGGCGTGTGGCGTGTCCATCAGGGTGACTGACGTCAGTCCCGCGTGGAATCGCCCAAAAAGTTCTAGCAGCTCTACTTACGCTTGGACTTTCTGCGTATGCGTGCGTGGATGTATGTGTTAAGTTGTTAAGATTGAAAACAAACTAGATTTTACCGAACTGAAGTCGTTCTTTTGCGCGATCGTCGATAATGAATTTAAATAAAAAGATCTTGCGTCATGATCGGGACTTTGGTCATTTTCTATATATACGTCGAGAATAAATAAAAATTCCAGATTGATGTGAACACAAGCTTTTCATTATGATACGTTATAATTTCAATTTCAGGAGGAATAATTGAAGATCGAATGAAGGATCTCCGAAAATCCTTTAGGTTGTTAGATTGAACCTTTTCAATGCGTTTTCCCAGCATGTAAGCCACAAAGAAACGAGCAGCTCGCACGCGGCTCATGGAAAATAGTGAGACTCGCAACGGCCAGTTCCATAATAAAGATGAAAAGACACACGAGGCGGAGATGAAGCAAAGCGAGCTAGTATACACAAGTCGCTGGACACCGATATATTAATTAATAAACTCGACCTCTGTTGGCTTGCTCGCGCGAGTTGCCTCGACATGGCGAGAAAAAATTAATTGCACGGAATTCCAGGGCGAAATTGTCCCGTCATCATTTCGCCGGTGAGTTTATAACGCCGCGAGTGAGCCGATCGGGACGTTCAATTTATAGCAATTACGAGGCACAATAACTCGCTCTATCTCGCGGTAAACAGTAGTGAGAGAGCTTTTTCTCTCGACTTGTAATCAAGCCGATGCTCTTTTTTTTCAGATTGTGCCTCGTCGATAGGAGCAGCCTACACACATATCTATCTCCTTCTTCGTTTTGCTAACACGCGATCTACTAATCGAATATGAAATTTGACTTTTTCGTCTGGCGCGGCTTGAAAAATCGACAAGGATCGCTGCGAGAAGCTTTTCCCCCGGAGCGCAACGCTACATTTCGCAATCGATGAGAAGCAGAAGATAAGAAATGATAGTTTTTCCTCGGACGTTGCGCGCCGAGACCCCAATTAAGTTTTACACTCGCCAAATCACTCGCATCCGTGGAATATCTCTATAAAAGGTATAGCATCTGTATGATATAGCCGCGGCGGTGGCGGCGGCGGCGGCGGCGGCAGCGGCGGCGGCAGCAGCAGCATAATTCCCTTGGCGCGCGCGCGAGCGATCGTAAAAGGCCCAGCCGCTAATAATCGCGCCTCCGGTCGTCGATGTCGATTTTCCGCGAAACACTGCGAATTGAACGATTATATCAACGGAATCCACGGTTTTCTCAGGCATAAAAACGCGAGAGGCGTTACGTTTTTCCGGGCGACATTCCATTGCTTCGCCTCCAACTCCAGCTTCAAGTATTATTCCTCGCGATTCTGAGGAAAACAATGGCGAGCATCGTTTTTCAATAGCAAACTGAAATCAGCGATCGGAACCGCGCGTCTCTCGCCGGACAGTATTATGCAAATGCCCGATTTTTTCATGAAAATTGCAAAGCATAGAGCGCCTTATCCCACACTCATCTGCGATTGTGGTTTCGATTCTAATGTTTGATTTATGGCCTTTAATCTTTTTCATCGATGCCAAAATAATCTCAGTCAACGTAGTTCAAAGGAGCATATTATTACAACGACAACATCTGGGAGATGCACACGCATATTGTTGGTTTAATTGGTCGTGCGGCAGTCAGATAAGTCGTCAAAATAATCGTCGGTGATCTCGAGTATCGACAATGTTGCATCAGAACCCACGCGCGTGCAGCTTCGGTTAACGGCATATAACGTTTGCGCACGCCGAACGCGAATTTGCATTTACAACTGCTTCTTGAAAATCTCTCTCTCTCTCTCCCTCTCTCTTGTCCGGTGAGTGTTTCGCGCTAATAAATAATTTTCAGCGCTCTTGATACATTATTTATTAGCGTCGTTAAAGCAGCGCCTTGCTTAGACGTACTTTATCGCTAGAGGCGTGCTTTTCTTCGCGCGCAGAGCAAGAAAAATCAGTGAAAAATTAACCGACTAAAACCAGCAATAAAAAAAAAACAAAACAACGCTTTCTCAACATCGTAAACACTCGACGTACCGTGAATGTTTGAACAATGAAGAAGCCTTGAAGCGCTCAGCGCGTTTCTAATTGTCGACCGATCATGGTTTCTTTGAATACGACAAAAAAAAAACAACAACGAGCAATTTTTTATACAAGGACGCGAACCGATTTTATTGTCAGACAAATCCAGATTAATGTTCATCGCGGACAATCAGCTGCGAATTATTTATTAAATTTTCAATCCGTTATTTCACTATTCTCACGGGAAATCTTGTTACTACGTTGAACAATGTACTTGGTGAGATGACCATGAGAACAAATACACTTTTCTCTCAAGACAATGAAGAAACTATTAAAAGTTATGAAACAACACCGTTTGACGAATAAATTCTGTACCGCCGAAAATCCACGTGTCGAAAGTCTACAATCAGTCATCGAGAAAGGCTTCAATGAAGAAGCAAAAAATCAGCGTAGTATAGTATTTTCCCGTCTGACGACCCATGTGAGTGCTACGTCGCAATTTTGCTGTTCGCCAATTTTCAATTAAAATGAAATCAAGCACCGTTCTCTCTCTCTCTCTCTCTATCCTGAACACTTACATTTCTTTTTTCCCTCCCCCTCCGTTCTTGTTTTTTTTGAACTCATTTCTCGAGACCGGAAGAAATCGTGCCCTCGGGCGACGCATCCTCTACGATTACAGTGGCGAACGCAGCTATGATAACAAATCGGGACTTTTCTCTATTCGCCCGCTCGAGTGCATGTGGTAAACTCGTTTTTGACTCGGTAATTTTCGAGACGTTGTGGATTTTGTTGGTTTTTTTCAGGCCTCATTGCAAAGTCTGGCCATTTACGATTCGAGGAAAATATTTACTATGCGCAAGAAGTCTCGCGAGCAGCAACTTGAAAGTGTTTGAAATGATGTACTTTGCGAACGTTTGAAAGAATATTCGTAGTTCCCATTTCTTTTCTATCCTTGTTGCGGTATCTTGCAATTTCATAGAACTTGCCTTGAGAAAAACATCATTCCGAGCAGCTGTTCTAAATACCTTCGAATGTAATTTCGGTGAAACGATTTTTTTAACGGCATTCCGTCTGACAAGCTCTTCCACGCGTCTTAATTTATCGAAACAATACAAGGTAATATCGTCCAAAAGCAACAATCGTGAAAACCCGCTCTTATCAAAACGATCTTCGCCGAGGAGAAAAAACTTCAAGTCCATACACACATACATAAGAATCGGTCTATGGTTAAAGAAGCAGGCACACCAATGCATATGTACGTTCGTGTGTACAAGTGGGTTTGGTTGGCGCGTGTGCGTGGGTGTCGACTGGGGATCATACCATTCTTTGGAACGCCATCGGGGACTTTATCCCGAAACTTACCGCACTTGTGCTGCCATCGATGTCTCTCTACTCTCTCCCTCTCTCTCGTTCTGTCTGCAGCGAGCTTGCACTATACTTATATGTATATATATGTGTGTGTACATATATACGTATATACATATATATGTACGTCGCGGGCCACACGCGTTGCGCACTTTTTACTTGCGAGCATTGTCACCTTGCTTTTCGTCGTTACACTTTCTTTTTCAAAGATTTTGCTCTCGTCTCTTTTCGTCAAACAATCCATCATTGCCGATGCAGAAAAACTCGACTACATAGCGTTATCTTCACTATAGCTGAACGATTTTACACTGCATACGATATACATGTACGTAAGAGAAAGAGTCGGTCCGGAAGATGCATAAGAAATCGCGAAGCGACGGCGCAACAACCTTGCGCACAAGCTGAACGGCGGCGAGCGACTGAGGAGGCTTCGACTGGGTCCAGAGCAGGAGCCGCAGCAGCCAGCTCGCGGGGCCTTCTCTCTCTCTCTCTCTCTCTCTCTCTCTCTCTCTCTCTCTCTCTCCGTAAGCGCTGCCGGTTCGGGACTCGTTCGGCTGCTTCTCTCTTTCTCTCTCTTTTTATTCACTTCGCCCTTTTCTGACGCTTCGCTTCTTTCTCTCTCTCTCTTTCTCTCTCTTTCCTTGGAGGCTAATGCGATGATTGCAAAGTTAGAGTTTAATTAAAACAGCGACGAGCGGCAGCGCAACGATATTGGAACGTGAAATTGATGTATTTATCACTGCTAGAGAAAGATGCTTTGTTTATTTTATTTTCACGTAGGATGTTTGAGTCGCTGTTGCTTGATTGGACGATATCCCCAACTGTAAATACCGAGACATATTCGTCCTTTTTCGTCGCTGCTTGTAAGATTTAAATTGATTAGGATTATGCTGCGAAATATATATTGAAAATTCTGGAGAACGTTTGATACTCTGCATTTTCTGAATGGCGGGGGTTGGGGAGGGGGGGGGGGGTCTCGCGTCTTTTCTGTTTTCAATTAATTTTAGCAAATGAATTATTATTACTCAGAACAAATGGACGATGACATTTCATTTGAAGCAGTTTAATTGATGCAATTTAATCAGAAATATGATAATTTTCCATTAGCGTGCAAAGACTAGTGCATTGCGACTGGCTATTCTGAATGAAATGAAGGTATCGAGTAACGGATGCACGAATCTCAATACAAAATATATCCATCGCTGAAAGTAAAGCTAAAAAAACGGAGATCTTGAATTATACGATGCACCCTCGAGCACGCACGGCAATAAGTATCGTATTACAGTAAACAAGCGAACCAAGCTCAGCGAAATTTCAAGAGTGCAGCAGAGAAAATCGCAGTAGCCCTATAGGACATCGCACGCGGACCCCGGGATCGCCAATCGAGAGGGTGAAGCGCCAAAATAAGCAGCAGACAAACCCCGCAAGCATATCAACGCGTACGCAAGAGAGAAAGAGCGAAGGCAGCGACGGGAGCAGCAACCTTAAATCAATTCCTCCACCTCTGCTAGGCGCGCGCGCGCGTGTGTGTGTCTGCTGGCGGAGCGGAGTAGGCAGTGGCAGGGGATCCCCCGTGGCGGCGGTGACGGTGGCGGCGGCGGGGCGCCCCGCGGGTCTGCAACTTGGCATATAGGGGCCGGCCTCCGCCGTGAGCCAATGGCCTCGCTCTAACGCCCGTTCTAACGTCGCGCGAGCTGCGTGCATGCTCTTCCCCTTCCCGCCTTGCCAGCCACCTCTTCTGCTTCGCCGGGCGCAGGCCTTTGTTGCGCGGGTGGGGACAGTCGGCGAAATTGCTGGGCGCCGAAAGACTCGCACGAGAGACACAACATGCGTGCGCGTACGCACGCACGCACGCACGCACGCACTCGCGCACGCTCGACTGATGTCCCCAGGGAGAACGTGCAAGAGCTTCAAGCTGTGGCGATTGTCGATAAGGAGATGAGTGTGGCTGACTCGACGTGACATAGGACTACTGAAAAATGTAGATGTGGCATTAGAGACAACGGTCATCGCTGTTCAACGCGGGCATTCAGTGAACTTTCGAAGCGGTTTTTTGCCGCTTTTTTTCACTTTTTTTTTCTTTTTCTATTGTTCTAGCGACTTTTCATCCCCGCATATCTCGATTACAAATCGAGGTTTCGTATTATTTTATATAAGACTGGTCATTCCCTGATAATAAACAAATGAACGCGTTTACTTTGAAAGCAAGTGAAATTTATGCAGGGAATCGAACTGAGCAACTTGAAGCGAGTTATAAGTCATAATTATTTACTAGCAACTAAAGAAAAGCCAAGAAAAAAAATTGGTTCCGCGCATGACGTACACACTTTGGCATCTCCTTCAAAAATAGACGATCGCGAGCAACCGTGTGGTACTGTCGCGGGGCTCCGTATGAGCATGCAACTATGCATGTAAAGGTCGAGTAAAAAAGCCGAATCGCAGAAAGCGCAGTGCCGCTATGGTCGAGAGCGAATAAAAAGGGGGGAAAAAGAGCGTGTCGTGCACGCTCGCGCCACGAGGGCCGCTAGTTAAACAAACATTATGGAATTTTTTCTAATCGCGGATCGCGGTAAAAGCCTTTCCTGGTTCGACACACGACGCGCGCGCGCGCGCTCGAAGGCCGGAACTCGCGCGAGATAGCTAAAGCGCTCGCGTGCCCCGCAATAGAAAAAGCGAGAGAGAGAGAGAGAGAGAGAGAGAGAGAGAGAGAGAGAGAGAAAGACAGACTCTGGAGGTTCGCTTGAAGGTGTACGGTATGAGAGATATGAGCGAGGGAGGCAAAGGCTTTCGATTGATTGAAAAACTGCAGCTGTGAGCGTTGTCATGACTCTTGTATATTCGTCGACGGGAAATTGGTATATTGCTGTTATTGTTATTATTGTCAGCAGTGAAGCATTGATCTAGATCTTTATTGGCAAACCTTTTAATTATACCTACATGCGCAAATTGTTATAGTTAGTTATAATGGATGGATTAGCTTCAAGATCATTTGCCGTTTGACGACAATCAACAGGGAAAGAATATTTATCAAAATTTCTTTCTTTCATTTGTCTTTAATCACTGATTCATTTTATATAAGTTATTTGAAAGATTCTACGGCAAATAATATTCGTAATTGCACAGAAATATAATACCTTCAGTAAATACTTTTTTATAGATACAAGCGTTTAAATTGTCGTCGTACCTGCTAACATAAAATCCATAGAAATACATATATCTATCACACTGAGAATAACAGTTGTGGTTTCAATACACAAATTGTGTGGCGATTTGACGGGCACATACCGTTGTCAATTCCAAACTTCCAACTTGCGGGGTGCTAGCTATAAAATTGCATCTTTCGTCGTCGTCGTCACAGGTGCATCAGAGGTCGATTCTTCGGTTTAACGTCGATGATCCTTTGAGTAAATGAAGGATAGGAGGGGAGAAAACACGAAGACACGCATATAACCCGGATCGCCCACGGAAACGTGTATCTCTCTCTCTCTCTCTCGGCCACAGTTGATTTTTCTCCTTCGGGGCGTCCTCTCACTACTCGCTAGTATGCTAATTTCGCGTGTTCGCGCCGCCACGTCGTGGGATACCTTGCACGCTATCCCCGAGACTGTTTTCCTCCCTTTTTCTTTTCTCTCGCGACTATAACGCACGTTACGTAATTTTTTTCCCCCCGAGATCGATATATAGAATGCGCGCGTACCGAGGCGTAGAAAAAAAAATGGCGTGTATTTATAATCCGGCGTGCCCACTCTAAATGCTCGGCGCAGCGGTAAATCACTTTTACACTTGGACTTTTCCGCCGTTGTCGTTGCTGCTGTTCGCCGATTCCCGTACTTGACGTTCATTTGAATTGTCGCGCCCTAGTGAGTGCACCTCGGAGACCCATTATCGCCGCACGGCTGCTTTATTATAATTTATTCCTCTAGCGGGCGAGAGACTTCGATGTATATACCTTTGCCTATACACGAGTTAACTTTTCAAATCTCTAATGCACGCGCACGACATGGAATTGTATGTTTCAAACATTTCGAGAAAAGAAAGCAATGTAGACTTTTGTCCTTTGGTTTCAAACAACATTCATATTTCGCAATACGACGATTGCATTGGATTTGAAGAAGGAACAGAATTACCTTTATGAATCATTTAAGTATATAAATATATATTGTTATTGTTATTGTGATTTCAAAAACTACGTCCACGTAGAACGCTGCAGAGGTACACTAGGTACCTGTACGCATTAGCTTGGTTCCCTATAATCATGAGTGTGTATTCCTCCTCCTCCACTATATTATATATACATACATAAGTACGAGAGAGAGAGTTATAAACTATATCTAATGTTTGATGCTCATTTGCAGGTAAGCCACTTAGTCGGAGACAACTCATCGCTGAGCATCACAAGTAGCATATTCGGCAAAACAACCGGCCTGTCCACGGTGAGTCGCTATACAACACATGCATAATAACGTCTATCGAGCCATTAGCGTTGTTCGAGTCTGTTTGTTTTTTGCTTGGGTTACTGCGTTCGTTCGACCGGCCCTCATTAATATTCACACCTCTAAACGAGCTATCACTCAAGAACGAGCGCAACATGTATTACATATATATATATATATATATATATATATACAGAACGATCAATCTGAGAGAGAGAGAGAGAGAGAATATGTCGTTGGGCTAAAACGTTAAAGTGACCAATCCTCTCGCGGTGTGGTTTTAACCTCGAGCAAAGGAGACCCCCTGCGAACTTTTCGACCGACCCCGTCCTTTTTTGGTTTTTTTTCGTAGCGAGCGCTGCGCAGGTGATGCGCGACACGTGTGATGTCATCTTGTCTACCGGTTCGGCTCTTTTTCCAAAGGCGGCGCGACGCGCGTCGTTGCGGCCATCCACCACACCGTGGGAAGAGTAGCCTCGACTTGTCTGCTGCTGCTGCTACTGCTGAACCTACGTATATATCTTTAACGCTTTTGTCTTATATTCTTTTGCACGTGAGCTATATAGATGACACAACGTGCTCCACCTTTTTTTCGTCAACTGTACTTGCCTCCTTCTTCTTCACTTTCTTCGTCTTCGGTTTGATAAGTTGATTATTCTCTCTCTTTCGTCCTGTATCTTCCGAACAGTTCAACTCATTCATTCCAGTAAAGGATTAACAAATCCTTTAAAGAATTTGAGACCAATGAAGGGTTATTAAATCCTTTAAAGGATCCAGTAAAGAACTTGTTAATCCTTTACTTGAATTATCTTGACATAAGTTGCCAATTTTCTGTACGTTTTGTAGTGTCCAAATATACAAGTAAGACAAGTTTTTAACTGTTGTTGAATTATAATTACGCGTATCATAGTAAACTATTTCTTAGGTTCGCAAATAAGAAGATAATTAATTTATTCAAGATATATAATTAATTTTTATATTACGTTCCAACTGATTTAGAATTAATCTGTGGTTTCAACATAAGCACAAAACGGATTAATCGCGTGAAAAATACACTACTTATATTAAGGGCAAAAATCTTAGGATCGTCACAAGTGATGACGTCTAGATTGATGAAAGATTCGAAAAGTCTGTGCACATAACAAAGAAAACCACGTTATTAGAATGTGACGTCAAGGGATATATGTAATGAGCGACATGTAGATAATAATCACGAAGACGTGAGCGACGAGAAATACATAAAAGAGGAGGGGGGAGTCAAAGATCGAGCATAGCTCTCTCATACGTCCCCCCCCCCTCAAGCAACAGCAGCAACCGCTCACAATTCAGATGCAAGACGCAGGTTAATTTGCGCGCCGATTACTGGCTTTAGACTCGCTAGCTGATAGCCGTTTCATACATTTAAATAATATTGGGTGCGAGTGATCATTAATGCCGTCGTGAGTGAAAAATTTAAAGACCTAGGCGAGAAGGATGTCCCGATAAGAATCTAAAAACACCCGAAAGTGAGTGAGCGAGAGAGAGAGAGAGAGAGAGAGAGAGAGAGAGAGAGAGAGAGAGAGAGAGAGAGAGAGAGAGAGAGAGAGAGAGAGAGAGAGAGAGAGAGAGAGAGAGAGAGAAAATTATGATAGCCAAGCGTCCATTAATAGCTAAAGCGGGAGAGAGAGAGAGGAGGAACTTAATCTCGAAAATCCCCATTGTGGCAGTTCCCCTGTCGCGCGCGGCACACCGCGTGACTGTACGCATCTTGCGTGTATATAACTAGGGGCTGAGAAAAGCGAATTTTTCGGGCGCTCTCTGTGCAAGACCCGAGCTTCATGCAAATCAGCTGTGTGTGCAAAAGTTGCTCCGGAAGAAGAGAGAAAAATCATGGGACGCCGGTTTGCCACGACGACGACGACGACGACGACGATGAGATTGATGTATTTAATGGATCTCTTTCTTTCTCTCTCCCTCTCTTAGAGCGGCCGCGTGAATGATTGAATTTTTATGCAAGCGTGTAAACCTCGATTCTCGCTCCGATGAATGTCACTGCTTATGAAATTTAATCGTTCAACTTCCGAAAAATAACTCGCGAGAGTTATAAGATTAAAAAAAAAAGAGATCAATGGGTACAGGGTGCATAAGGCAAAGATGTTTCCTTGTTTTTTTTTTGTTTTTCGTTATCAAGCTACAGCAGCAGTGAACGGCCTTTCGCCAATATGTTAATGCATTTTAATACGGCATGTAAGTATTTTAATGGGCATGCAAATCGATCCTTGTAAATTACCCGAGCAAGCCGTTTAATATACCTTCCGTATAACATCGTTTATAGGCACACCGACAACGACGACGGTAAAGCTTGGAAAAATCGGTAGTGTCGTGTCGCGAAAATGAGCTTTGAATGAAAAGGGGTATTCATTTCTTGGTCATTTTCATTTTCGTGCTCATTTAGATTTTTCGTATCTCGAAATAGCACGTCTTATAAGCACTAATTTCGCGAATGTGAAAAGTTGTAGCTCTGTTCCAGGTGTACGCGAGCATGCGTAGTATGCGTTTGCATAGTTTGCGCGAGCGTAATTTGTATAATTATAAATGTGCGAATACTTAGTTTTCTTATGAAAATTGATATGCGCGAAAACAAGTTTCTGGAATTTCCGTATTGATTTAACAATTTCTATAATTGAAGTAATCTAAAATGGAAACATCTATCTATCATATATACGTGATGAATGCGATATTAAATCGATGAAATTCCAGGGTCTAACATCGTCGGAATACGCAGGTAAAACGTCGATCACCGCAGGCGGAGATAAGCAGCAAATTGGATCGGAGCATCAACGCGGACTGAGTGTTGGTGGACTAGTGTGGTGGCAAAACATCCACGGCGATGCAGCCGACAGATTCATACCGAAGCGACGCGGTGTCAATCTTGACCTGTCGCGCTACCTTCATGTGAATGATGAGGATGACGAGAAGGATGGTGTACATCTCAACGTACTCAAAGACGTATGTTTGTTTCCTTCTTTTCCTTGCCTACGTCGTTAAATGACGGATAAGTTAATCGATGAAATTTGAATACGATAAATTTACACTTCAAGTACTTTCCCGTCGATAAATCAGCGCTACAAAGCTGATTATGGGAAAAAAGAAGAGGCGCATTTACGAGTTACAGCTACCGTTTGCCCGCAACTTCCGTTCATAAATATAAAGTCACTGATGTACCGATGTCGCTCGGCCTCGCAATTCATGGCCGTTAATCGTTTGGAGCATTAAAAACAGAATAAACGGGGGTAAGAGGGCTGATCGTTAAGGCGACAGGTGCCTACGACGTTCAATTTAGTCAATTACTCGCGAGCTCACCTATACGCTTACATCGCGTCCGACTTGCCGCTTGCGACGCTTTACGAGCTGCTTCTGCAAGTGTGGCATAGGAAGAACATTGACTTTTTTATCATAATCATATTTCGATAATTTCATCGGGTATCGTCGGTGCTTTTAGTTGAACAAGTAAGGACATTGACATTTTCGCAAATTGCGCAAGCGAAGTAAAATATTGACATTGCGCGTACGACAAATTATTCGCCGACACGTGTACGAAATGTTGGCAGGCAAAGAGTGCAGTGAATCGCTGGCGCAAAAAGTACATGAGCAATACGTTCCGCGCGCTCAACGTGTTCGGCGGACTGCTAAACAAACGCGTTCTCAATATCAGCGAGTCCAGCTCGTCGTCATCGATGAATCCGAAGCTGCAGGAATTCGGCGAGTCTCAATGGGAGTGCCATCCGCGACAGCAACCACTCATGAACCTGAAAAACGAAAAGTCCAAGCGTTATCGTGATCATGGTGCTCGTAAGTCCGACGTCTATATATAATTTTATCGATGCGACATTTGTATCGGACACGCGCGCGCGCACGTACAAATATTCCGGAACGTCAAATCCCCTTTTCAATCTGCCACGCAGAGATCTTCCGCTTCGTCTCGCCGATAAGACTGAAGAATCTCATTGACTGGAACTCGAAGGGCGAGCTGGCGGCAGGTCTGGAGAAGACGCTGTGCATCTGCGAGGTGGACTTCAAGACCGAGTACCAGATCAACAAGATCGACCACGACCACTATCTTTGCTGTGTCAAGTGGAGCGACAACGGTGCGAATGCACGTGGCACAACAAAAAAGCCTCGACTTGATGTTGCTCATTCATTCGTAGGAAACTATGTCGCATCCTGCTGCTACGACGGCAGCGTACACTTGTACATGATACCCGAGAGGAAGAAGTACTGGCATCGCCATTGTGGCTGTCACACGCGTCAAATCGATTGCGATGTCGATCACATCCTGTTCACCGACAAGGACACACGCATCGTCACGTAAGTTTCTTCTCGTGAAAGACTGTTGCGAGAATAATTATTCAATTATAATCGCTGCTGATCCCGTCGTTGGTTCTGCAATGTCAGTTCGTGCACGCGCGGTCGCATCAACATCATCAGCACCATCACCGGTTTCGTGCGTGTCACGCGAGACTTCGCCACGACCATACTGAAGATCGACGTGTCACCGAAAGAGCAATACCTCGCTATGAGTACCGCCGATCGACTTGTCAAGTTGTTTCGTTTTCCATCTCTGGCTGTGATGTTTGAGATTCAGTTCTTCGCCAATGTCGAGGTAAATGGCGAGCTGCTCGTACGACCATAGTCGCAGATCTTGATGAACGACCGATTACTGCTTTTGTTCGCAGGCGTTTGCTTGGCATCCGTGGTCATCGGGTATCCTCTGCATCGGCGGAGGTCCAGGCGACGCTTCGCTCTCGCTGTGGAACGTCAACAGTCAGCGTCAGTTGGGTTATCGAATGGTCGAGCTTTGCGGTTCCATTGACCACATGATGTTCAACAAACTGAGTGGCGAATTGCTCGTTCACTGGTATTACCTCGAGAACAACAAACTGAGATCGTTGATCGCCGTTCTAGCTAGTCTCGATCATATCGTTGACGTGGTACCCGTGCAACCGGAACATCGCATGAGAAACATCGTATGGAGTCACGATCACATGAGATTGGGTTGGTGTCCACGCGATACAAGTTCGATTCATCGTACAAAATTTGTGAATGATCCGATGCTCGTCGTTGATTACTTACAGCGATGCAGCATCGTGACACGCTGGTCATCTGGAACTTCTTCGGTGCGGATTTCAAAAAATGGACTGAGACAAAAAAAAAAAAGTACGCTGAGCAAGACTCGGCGAACAAGTTGAGAAACTATAGCTTAGACTGCGTCTCCACTACTGGGCCTTACACGTCCGCTGAGAGTGCAAGACTCTCCAAAAGCTTTCAGTACTACACTATACGTTAATAGTTTTGTATATTTCACTTCACCCTTTAATCGTTCTCGTTGAAAGATCCACAACGTTTTATCGTGACTTTTAAACCAAAGCTATTCTTAATTATTACTGATTGGGTAATCTCGCAACCTCGAATACCGAATGACTAAGACTGCAGAAGAGCACTTGATACAGGTTGATAAGACAGTCGTGGTTTTAATTAATAGACGTTGAAAGCCACGATCTGGGGAAACGTCATGCTCTCTCACTCGAGTGAGACGCCACAGCGCGCGGGCGTGCAGAAAGGCGAAATGAGCGAATAACAAGGAGACGCATGGTCGTCGGTCGTCGCGTCCGGCGAGGCAGTCGCATATATGCTATCTCCGGGCATTTATCATCGACGGCGACTAAGCGAGCGCGCGTATGCAAAACACGTGTGCCGCCGACGAGCAATCGCCTACGAATCGTGGTCAATTGTTTCTTTAGCCTGATTTTTACGTACCTGCTGCATTTATGTTCTTTTAGATGCTTTTAACGGAACGGTGATGGTCATAATGGTCGCGCGCGACCCACCGCATCCGATTACTTTTTATACAATAAAGGAGTCTTTTTCTTTTAACATCATGACATTTATTGCACGTCGTACCTCTCCCCAACGAAACATGACGCCATTTCGCACCTACGAGAACACACTTTCAATTTGTTTCGAGGAACCATACCACAAAATATAGCCTGACAATTGTGTCGTCCTCGTGCATTGAAATTAAAACAGCGGACGGCAATAAAAAGCATGATAAGCTTCGGAAGCAATCGTGCATGCGTGTTCCGTAGACTTTTTTCTCGTGAAAACAAGTATACGAAAAGCTTATCTCTCTCTCTCTCTCTCTCTGGACGCGCAATAATTTAGACGTTTATTAGTCTTTCTCTCTTCCTCGCTGATTCTGCAAATTACACACACCGATGAGAGTGGCGCCGTTAATCAATGGCAGCGTGTCGATTTCTCGCGAATTATTATCATTGCGTGGGGAGGGTGACAAGCGATAATTAGATATATATACGCGCGACCTACCGCCGCGAAAATACGACGCGCGGAGATTGAAGAGTCTCTATGGGACGAGGGCTTTTCATCGGCGGTCAGGAGCGAACCTTAACGATTACGCGCATGCGGGTGCTTTTTCTTCTCACGTGTATGGGTTAATTGGCTACTCGCGCTTGCTGACAGCACAATGCGCGCCTCGTCGTTTCCGCGCAATGACCGTGTGCCTAAACCTTTTGATTTACACTAGACGCGCGTGACCCGCTCGTATTTTTCATTTGCGTTTTCGAAAACGCCCGTAAGATGCGGATAATGCACAGGCTATCGTTTCTATTAGCCGAGAACTTTGACTGACCAAACTGGGTTAGTTCTACTTGTTATTATTGTTTTGTGCGGATAAGACTTTTTTTGTCGACGAAAGCGGGCGGTATTGTGAGCCCTGACTCTGTTGAAATCCAGCATCTTCGTAGGAAGCACGGATTCATCGGCCGAAAAAAGGAAAGCATCCCATTCGCGCAGCCGAGAGAGCAAGCGTAAATGCCCCTTCATCGCGCACGAGAGAGAATCGCCGCGGCAATTATTTTGTGCATGGACGTCATATTTCAGGCGGAACGTCTTAATAACCCGCTCTCGAGCAGCAGATCCCCTAGGAGCCGCGCTCTTTCTCTCTCGCGAGGAGAAAGAACTTTGTATGAAATTGCCGGTTAATCGGCTGGTTGATTGCTTGATCGTGAATTTTTTTTTTTCGACCATCTCGTTGCCCCATGAGCAACCATTACCAACCATTCGAATCGAGCGCGCTCGCGCGAGAGCAGTAAACGCGCATCGATCGTGCGCGCCCTTACCGCGACCGATCTTTACGAGCTTCTCGCTTTAACGCTGCTATTGCCACGGTTCGACTACTTTTTCATCGATTATTTTTTTAACGTTTTTGCTTCTCTTCCGTCAGCTTTGCTACGTGATCGACGCCAGAGAATGTGCTCGATTATTTCTTTAAATATTGAAATAATATATAATATAACTTTCCAGTGTAAGCAGGTCGATAGAATCACGATGATTGCGTGATGTATAACAGCATGAACGCTTTCATATTTCTACTAAGATATAATGTTCGTGGGTTAATTAAAACAAAAAATTTACAGCTTGAAAAATCCTTTATTTGTAAAATGAAAAGACTGTAAGAAAATCTGTTTTTCTTCGATTAAAAAAAGATATAGAGCGTTATCAAAATATTTGAAATATTTTGTTTTGTTGCAAAACTACACAATCTCTTCGATAACTTCCACTCTCGCTTCAGATCCACTTGTTTCTACGTTAGCTTCAACTATTACCTCTTCTGCATCATTTCGATTGTTAATTTGTACTGTCGTTACGTCACTACTCTTGCCTTGTTGATTTAATTGTACTACTGTTTTCTCTATCTTTCCTTCTTGACTGGCGTGTACCTGAACTTCAGAGGGTAGCTCGATTTTTGACGGTGCAGTAGTTGGCCTTTTCTTTCGCCATCTTTTCGGTCTTCTGTACTGCACGATAGCATCTTCCTGGACCTGAGTGTTTCTGATCAGGTCTTCTATTGTTATGCTTCTAATTAATTCCTTCATTTCTTGTTTTGTCGGTACATTGTTTTCTTCCGGTAAAGGTGCAGTCTTGTTTCTCGATCTACAGAATAGATTCATCAAAGATTTTCTCTTCTTGCGCGCTTTTCCTAAAACAGAAAATTGATGATGCACGTTTTTTTTATCATAAAATTATTTACAGAATAATATCAAACAATACATACTCTGTTTATCTAGTAACTCGTCATTCGGGATAATCGGCTTTCCATACTGCAAATGAGTCAAGTGTAGATTAGAAATTAATTGTAAAAATTAATATTATCTTGAAGCTCACCGTATCGGAATCCGTGTCAGGATAATCGAACGGATTTGGTATTTTTTGAGCTGCCCAAGACCTTGCAGATCCTTGCCTAAGTGCTTTGCGTTTTTCTCTTCTTTGTTCCATCTCTCTTTCGTAATCTTCATAATTATAATCAATCATATTAATGAGCCACCTAACATATATATGCAATTGTTAAAGATTAATGTCATTATCGTGCGTAAAATAGCTTTGCAATATTCATCTTACTCGAATCCCTTATCAATAGACTTATTCAAATTGAAATTTTTATTTCTATCCCGAAAGCAGGTGCAAATTTCAACTCTTGTGAAACATCGTGAAAAATTGGCAACTCTGTAGAGATTCATGAAATCAATGAGATTCATTTCATTCAAAGTAATTCTCTGATCTTGCTTGTTAGCCAGACTGTACAATACGGACGTTCCATTGTAGCCAAATAACAAAAACAGTTCCAAAAAATTATTTCACTTTTATTAATGCATGAAACTAGAGAAAGAGAGAGAGAGAGAGAGAATTGTGCTTACATTAAAATTGGCTTCTGAGTAATAAAATCATGACATGCTAACTCTTGAAAGACTTGTGCTGTTTCGAAAAGCCGTTTATTATCACTAGAGTCCACTACGTATATGACGCCGTGCACCTAGAATATCGATTGAATGAACTGAACTGTATCCGTAATTTGTATACACAAGCTACTTGTCGGTTTACTATATTGACGTAGATTTAATTAAGGATAGTGAATTTAGGCGCAATTGTTAGATATTACATGACTATTACAAAATCTGAACTTTGTAACTCACTTCTTCGTAATATTTTTTCCAAAGTTCTCGAATCTGCGGACTTCCGCCGACGTCGTATAATCGTATTGTCAGGCGCCTTTTATACTTGAATGTTACCGTTCTAAACCCTATTGTTGGTACGACGGTCGATTTTGGAAGATAACTTTCTAAAAGGATAGTCGTTCAATTTATTTTTGATTCTAATAAAACCTGTTCGATTGTTGTTTACTTACTGTTGAATAGATAATTAACTACCGTGCTCTTTCCCGCTCCGTCAAGACCAGCTACTAATAATATTATGGTCCTAGTAATTTATATGTTAAGTTTTATTTAAACATTCAAATAACTACTTGTTGTCATATTTAATGAAATTGTATGATTATGATATTTAATTATAGCTTTAAGCTTATACAAACTTGTACCTTTTAGGCATTTTACTCAGCTCGTACTTGACGCACAAAGGCGTAAGACACTCCAAGCAAGCCACTTTTATCGAGTTCCATGTTTTCATAGCACGAAAACCACAGCACTCACACATTTTTCATTAAATTAATACAAAACTAGAAACAACGCGCTGCTCACACTGTTCGCTGCTAAGGCAAACAAACCGCTACGACATAAGCGCTTGTAGTGTTAACGAACTCAACTGTGGGTGCGGAGCTACTCAGTCAATAAAACAGAAACAATGCTATAAAAGCCACATTTTTGTATAATTGATTGTAGAGAGAAAAACAACGAATGACAGAATTTTTTAATTGGACGCGTCGGAAAGGATTTTAGAGAGGTGAATAAACAAGACGAGTTTCTTTTTTTACTCTGATATACTTAAACGAATTTTTGACTATAATCGAATGTTTAATACATTTAATGGTCCGAATCGTGAAATACGCAATATATTTAAAATAATTTGCTTACAACATATCTCACATCTCTCAATCAAAATGAAATGTGTAGAAAAAACATCTTATCATCTTTAATCGTATTTAACGTTCCCTACAATTTTTTCAATATATATATTCTTGCCGTGAGTAAAAATGCACGTGAAGTCAGATCAAAAACGTTTGACAAATCGTAACAACTGCTACATACAAATATGGTGACTTTCAAATTCGATGCAATATCTTGCTTGAAGTTCAAAATCACATTCAGATAATGTACAATTCATTGAGAGCTTAAGTGATATATAATTCTGTAAATATGAGTATGTGTGTACGTATTTTTCATGTATATGTGCTTAAAATTGAAATGTATAAAGAAATTGTATAAATTTAATTTTGTTCTGTTTAGTTAAAGGATATACATACTTTGGAAAACACTATATATCATATATAGAGAGATACTCCAGATCATATTTCGTGAAAATCAACTAAAAATGAATATCTGACATGTCCGAATGAGCTTTCACGTTCTTATTGCCTAAATTTAATATTTTATACATATATCTATGTGTTCCTTATCTTTCCAGGCACGTAATTTTTATCTATACAGACATCCTGCAAAAACATGTGTAGACATCGCTCATTCTGCGCCAAGGGATGACCGGCAATTCTGTAACAAAAGAAATATGTAAATTTTGAATACTTTTAATTCAATTTTCCGCCCATTCAAAGTTATGCGCGCAGTTTCGTCCGCGCACGCTTAACCTAAATAAAGTATTATAAGCAAAACTAAGTCAGAATGTGCGCATATGCGATAAAACCCGTGAAAGAGAAACCTATACAAATTTATCTTGTGATAAAACTATCTACTTTTAGTTGGTGACATTAATATTGCTTATCTCTTAGCACTGTTGAAAAAAGATATTGAAATTGAAAAAGTAATACTGGTTAGCAAGCTTACTTATTAACAAACACTTCTAGTCCTTTCCTTCGATCTTCGATGAAATCTTCTTCAAATATTCCATCGTCTCCTCTAAAAGGCATCTGTCTTTTCCATGCTTTACCAGGTAATGGAGGCACTACAATCTAAAATAAATTAAAAGTGATTATTATTTTCTTTTTGTTGACACTTCAAGGTGAATGTTACTGTATGAATATTTGAAATAAATACAAACCTTGCTGTCTCGCTCTAATTCATTCCTAAGCCATTCAAAATCGCTATATCGTCGTCGTACACTGGAATCTTTAACTTTGAAGACTGGCAAATTCGTCTGCAAACGAGAAAAAATAAGTAATACTATCACATTCTTTTTATGCCTTGACAAATATTCGTGGAGAATCAATCTACTTAAAACACACTTCAAGACAAATAATGGTAATTAACATTATTTCATTTAGAAAATCAAAATGTATTTCCACATTTTTCAGTTAATTATAAACACTTTTTTTTTACTATTCAGTTCCAAATTCGCCTTATCCATCAAGCGAGTTCTTTGTCCTTGTGATTTCCGATATTTTCACATAGTTCTATACGTGCAAATGAATCACAACACAAGTCACATAATGCTATAGCGATCAGAAAAACGCGAAAATGCATCGAACTTGAGCGTGTATACAATGGCCATCTTATAAATGTCCAAGTGACATTTGGCAGCGAGAGGTGTATGTACATGCGATGCTGCAGAAACAATTAGAAGACAACAGATCGCAGCGTCTGCAGTTCTCGCTCATTCCAAATAAACAAAATCAAATTATATGCACGGACCAAGCAAGAGAGGCTGAATTGACGCTTCATATTTGCACAAAAGAAATAGCCGCATAACGAAAGGATGGATAGTGGCGAGTGAAAGAAAAGGGGGGAGTATACTTACTCTCATCCGGACTTCGTAGTCGGTGTATCGTTTCTTGCCGAGGCCATGAGTGATAGGATTGATCACGTCGATCTCGAGGAAGTTGGCTGGAGCAGCATAGGCGTCGTCGAGGGTTTGCTTCTTAACGTTGAGCCGTCGCGTCGCATCAACAGTAGTGTCTGCCATAGCAGATCTCAATTCGAAGGTTTGTTTTCTTCACAAGTGTCACTGTCTCTCACTCTGCACCGGACGTCGTGATCCACCTACCTACTGCCGGAATCCCAGCGCGCGCAACGCTCTGCGCATACCACACCAAACTAATGCCACAGCAAGAGAAAAAGAGGAGGAATCCGGTTCTCCACGCTATATGCTTGCTTGCAGATTACTTGGCTTGCTTGCGTTCTCTGCATACGCGCGTTGTCTTTTCCTCCCCTCGATATGCCACTTAACTCATATTGACTATGTGTTTGTGCATACATGTATGTATGTATATACAATGGTCGCGAATGGTTGCGAGGTCGTTGGTTCTTGCCGTTGGAACTCAAAAACTCATTGGTTGCAAATGGCGATACCTAGTGCGAGCTAGGAATTTTTCTACTTTATCGACTTCTTACTTTCGCCAGAGACTACCGCATAGATATTAAAATAAGTATGCAAGCAGCTAATAGACGCTGTACAAATATATTTGTTGAGCGTCTACATTCGTTCGTTTCGAGAGAGAGAGAGAGAGAGAGAGAGAGAAAGAGAGAGAGAAAGAGAGAGTTGTTGTTTATTGCAATTGTTGACACTATACGAATACAGACTACCGAGAAAAAACTGTAACTAAATTGTAAAAATACGTACATGGCTGTTAGCATATAATTTATTATTATTCATCTTCTCGGTTGAAATTGCTTCATACCATAATGTAGATAAATGATAAGAATTAATATTAGTTGCGCTACATATAGGTACATAGGTATATATATATATATATATATATATATATATATATATATATATATATGTATGTATATATAAGAACTTTTTTTAAAACAAATATTGTGACTGAAATATAGGTACGGATGTACATACATGCATACTTACTACATACATATATATCCATATGTATATGTGTACATCAGAAGTCAGAAATAACACGATTGGTTAGTTCGATTGGAACCCGGTATTCGAGTTCTGATTGGATAAAATCACGATAGTTCACAGATATAGACTTCTTGTCTTCTTGATGATGCTGTAGGGATGCAGCCGCCAGCTGCATAATATAAAAGCACAGGATACCATAAAATTTTGGAACGCGCTCCCCTGGAAAGCTGAAATGTCGATTGGAGGGGGAGACAAATGTGCAGTGTTAAAATACTCTTCAATTTTGTCGATGACGCTTAAATAATTCTGCTTCGCTAGGAGTTTGTTAATACAAAGTTGAGTTGCGTTTTATGGCGAAAAAACGAATAAAAAACATCACCTTGTAACCTCGGTCAGGCACGAACAAAGAGATTGGAAATAATGCAACTGACGAGACGGACGCTGCATTTCAGATTTACTATATTCGAAAATAACGCATGCCGATTTTAATTTAAAGCATCCGGTTATAAGGATAAGTTAGTCAATTTATCGGAAAATAGTTATAATCTAAATAAACTATGACAATGGCCAATCCAGAAGGCACTATTCTCTTTGCAAAGCTTGAAGCTTTGAAGGATATTAGGTAAAACATATTCTACTTTGATACTATATTATTTCCTTATAAACCATTATATTTTTCTTTCCAGAACGAAAACTATTCAGTTAGATAAAATTAAGCAAAGAATTTTTCAAGAAGTAGAATTGACAGAGCAAGAAGAAAAATGTTTGATGGAGTACAAACAAGAAATGGATCTCTTAATGCAAGAAAAAATGGCTCATGTAGAAGAGCTTAGACAAATTCATGCTGATATCAATGCTGTAGGGGAAAAAGCACTCTATTTAATATTCACTGCAAATGTTATCTTGTAAATATAATGCTGTTTTTGTAATTAGATGGAGTCAGTAATAAAGCATGCAGAGGAAGCTAGGAATCGAGCTAGGGAATCAGCTAAAATCATTCACAGTAATGATTATCAGCCACTCAAACATGACATTGATAGAATGAGGAGAGACTATTTAGGACTTGAAAGATTACCAGAGCTCTATGAAATTGAATCGGACATAACTCCAGAGTAAGATATTTCTTTAAGTATTTATGCAAAGCTGCAACCTGTTTCAAGAAAAATAACCAATAAAATATATTTTTTTCAGTTACTTTGATCGTCCAATACAAAAAGCAGAGTGGCGTGTTGATGTTCGTGGGGAGGATTTACTTCCACCTATGAATATGCATTCGCATGGTGGACATCCAGGAACCAATGCTTTTTTAGCACCTCAACCATTGCAAGGATCAAGTAAAGCAGAACCAAGACCTTTACCTCCTGCTCCAGGACCACCTGCTCCTACATTTAGGTATGTTTTTGATGTCAATCCTTTCATACATGAGTGTTTTAATTACAAATTATCATATTTTCTATTTTTTTAGGCAACAACCTCCTCCAATGAAATCTTGTCTTTCATGTCATCAGCAGATTCATAGAAATGCTCCAATTTGTCCTTTGTGCAAAGCTAAATCCAGATCTCGCAATCCCAAAAAGCCAAAAAAAAAAGACTAAATTATATTAGCTAAATAATTCATTTAATCATTCATTTGAAAACATTCATGTTTATCATTTAAGTATGGTATAATCACAGATGTATTTGATTCAGTTGTTAGAATCATGCAATTCACATACAAAATCCATAGCTGTAAGATGGTACATTTTTACATTTTTTATTGTAACTTTCAAACAAAAAGACTATATTCAAAATGCCTGTATATTAATCTATATGAACTTTTTTATTAATGCAAATATATAAGAGACTTTGTTCAATTTCAATAACAGAACTTTTTTTATTTCTAGTTGTGTCTACAGTAATTCTTTTAATTATTATAAAAATAAATTTTATCACTAAATGTTTGTAATAACAATACATAATTTAGTGTAAAACATATCAACATATGAGTCAAGCTTTTTAATAAAAAAGTTGCAATTACTTTCAAACGGTAAGTTTTCATGAAAACGATTTCGCGTGAGTGGTCAGTGATTTAGTAAGGTGAGTTTTTACGACAAATGTTTACTAGTAGAATGTACAACACAAAATAATCGTCTGCTAGCCAACAAGACGTCGTGATATTTCATAAAGTAACAATAGTCGTCAATGTTTCAAGATTTCTTAATAAATTTGAATGAAATTTAAATAAAAACCATCATTAAATACTTTAATAGTAATTATGAAGACTCCACAAATGAATTTGAAGCAGGTAACCTTATTTATTTTATAAATGAAAATCTATTCTATATTATCAATTTTCAAATCAGTTCATGACAAGCAGACAAGTTTTGAAGTTATATAGAGATATTTTAAGAACTGTGAAATTAATTCCAAATGAAGCTGATAGAGAATATATGAAAAACTGGGCTCGATCTGATTTTAAAACTTATAAAAATATTAGAGATGACGTAAGTGTAATTTTGAATAAAAAAATGATATATAAAAAAATGTTATCGATAATCTTTATGTTACAGTTACATATAAAAGCATTAATTGCTCATGGAGAAAATTCGTTGCAAGAGCTTAGAAAGAACTTGGCTCGAGCACAATAAGACATTCATGGGTACTGTAAATAAAGGCAACATATTTATAATAAATAAAAAATTGTATATATTCACAAACAACACTGCATATACCTATAATACACAACTGTACATACTTAAATATTTATATAATCTTCTATCACAATAAGTGACAATTATTTTTATTTAGAAAACTTAAAACTTGATCAAGTACATAAGGATTAAATTATATCCAAGAAGAAAGGTAAAGATTGTAGTTATAATTAGAGCAACAATCTTACGTATACATTGTTGATGTATTTTGCTCCTCAACAATCTTTCTGTTAACAATATAGCAATGTGCTGTCCATCAAAATAAAAGCAAGGCACAACATTTATAATTGCTAAACCAGAGGAAAAAACTGCAATATATTTGCACAACAATATTAAGGCCTCTGGAAAATTGGGGCTCAAGAATGCAAATCTTGGTACCAAATCAGTTAAATCTGTAGTATAATATATTTCAGAAGGATGACCAAAAAATAGTACATCTTTATGACCATATCTTTGAATTTGAACCAGCTGTAAATAAATAAAATTAATAAGAAAATTGATTATTATAGTTTTTCTAGTTAAAAAACTGACTTTTGACATATTAGCTAAAGCAGGTCTAACACAAATATCATTCAACATTGAGCATTGATCATTGTTTTGACAATAATTATGTGAGCTTTCAACTATAGCTCTGGTAGGTAAACAAAAATGCCTGGCTGCTCGAGGTGTTTGAACATCCAAATCCTCAAAATGTTCAAAACATAAATAGCCATTATTTTTATTGTGCTGTTCACAACATTGATAAATGCTATTGTTATCATGACTGATAATTGATTTATCCAACTCCTAAAATACCATAATATTTTATTAATTTTGATTCTGAAAGTTTAGATGGAAATAAATTTAAGTTGATTTTGTACCTTAACTATTTTATCTGTTACACAATAGCCAGGAGTTGGAAGCTGAGCTGCTTGTAAAATACAAGTTTTCCAATTTGATGAATTTTTAACATAGCAATCGTTTATTTGGTGCACAACATCACCTCTTGTAAGACCAGATGCAGCCAATAAAGGAGAGTTCTACAAAATGATCATTGTAATATTAGGAATTTGATATTTAGAAAATTTTAGAACAATCATTCTCTAACTTACAGGTAAAATATCTTTTATAAAAACTCCAGTATTTAATATAAAGAATGGAGAAAAACAAAATTTGATGACTCCTATAAGTAATAATGCAAATGCTGAAAGGATTATATTATGCCAGATACCAGCACATAAAATTCTTAAGCGATTTTTGGTAGGTAAGAAATTAAGTTGTTCATCACTTATATGAACAAAAGCTACTGGTATAATAATACATATTATTACTCCTATTCCAAAAAATCTTACATCTTCTCTTACTGCTGCCATAGCATGGCCCAATTCATGGAAAAAACTACATAAAATCAATGAAATAATATAATATCCTATTTCATTGTATGGTATATTAATACCAGGAACCTATGTAAGAGTAGGTCATAGTTAATTTAAAATGCAAACTAATTTAATAATACAATGATTAACTTTTACTCACCATTACTTCCAGTACTTGTTCTTTCTTTACTGATTCAGAATCAAAAGTATAAAACCAATTATTAATTGTCATTTTTAGAATGACTATAGTTGATACCGGAAGAAGAATTATTGTTACAATGAGTCCTAAATTGTACCATAGTGACCAGAATCTTGAGCGATTTAAACCCCATCTCATCAAAGGCCTATTGAAGGCTGCAGTAAACCATTTTATACGGAAAAATTGTATTTCAATGCCAAACTTTTGCAATAGATTGATATAAGGTAAGTGCATACATGACTAAAATTGATATTAATAATTATATAATCACATTTTCATTCAAATATATGTATAAAACATATGAGATAAAAAAATACTCACCATAAAGATTGTATTGAAGAAAAAAAGAGAAAAATGTAAAAAACCAATAAACATCAAAACATGTAATGCTTCCATTATAATACTAATATTTTAGTATTATATTTTGTTGTCAAAAACAATAAATAACTCATATTTCTTACTCCCGTCTTTCATATTTGTAAGTTATTAAAATTATATTGAACCATAAATTTACCAATTAACTATTTCATTTTTGAAATTCAATGTTCAGCGTTTTTAAAATTAACAACTACTAACTTGATAATACCGGTTTTAGGTTATATATATGTATAGTCACTATTGTAGCAGACAAGAATAATTATATTGTACGTATATATCACGCACAAGTGCGGCGACTGGTTGGATAGATGGTGTTACGTTACGTTTACACATACGTATCATTCATTTGTTGTTCCCTATTTCAATGTTCTTCGAATAGACCTATCCCCGAATTATCGACGGCGTCAGTTGAGATACAAAATAAGATAAAGAAAATTAAAATATATATTTTATTTAACACCTGTGAATACAGATTTTATATGAATTGTAGTCATTCAAGAAAAAAAACAAGAAACTTTTCTACCCCTTGGCCAACCTTTATAACCTACTTGTGGTGTATTCAGTGATTCTTCTAACCTACTCTCTTGCTGTTATCGCAAGTTGTTTGCTGTAAAAAGTCATTGTAAATTATATAGATCTGTAATTTTGCAAATTCAAGTGTACACTGGGTAGGTTTTGATATCTTCTGTACTAAACTGTGTAAACTGTGATTAAAATGTTCGAAATTATTGATCAAGGTTGTGATTTCATTGAAGTATTATCAATTATAGTATTCATATTTATTAAATAATTTCATTCATACAAACATTATTTTGTGTAAAAATATTCTAACATCTTTTTATTATACATGCAAAAAAGCTATATTTTTATACTACATCACAGACGTTTCGATCTTTGATTTCAGTAAATGCTTATAGAAGTCGTTAATAGGCTATCAATTTTATTGACAAGTTCATTAATTTGTTTGTTATCAAAAACACATGTAATTATTGTTTAAAGTGTTTTATTAGTATTAAATTATTCCTAATATTTTCTAAAAAAATATTTGTGAATTTAAATATTATTATGATATGATCATATAGTATTAATTTATATTTATGTTTACAGAATTTCACATCATGAAGATTGTTGTTATGAATAATAACATATACCAGATTGGATGTTGATTTTTGTAAGATAGAATTAGTCATAAAAATTAATGACATGGCAAATCATTATGAAGTTCCTAACTGGTATAATTCTTTTAATTTTATTAAAATAAATAAATAATACTTATCAAGATAATATAGGATCTAATTTTTATCACAAATTTTTAATGAATCTAGAACAGAGTTCTTTTGTAGCATAATATTTGATTAAAACCTGAATTTTCTTTTCTTGAATGCTAACATTGTCGATAATTTTCATGTTTTATTATAGGGCAGGTAAACCTCCTGTAGGTTTACATCTAGATGTTTTGAAAAATGATAAATTGATTCAGGTAAATGATCTTGTAGTATTTACTAGTTTTTAATTTTTTTTTCATCGGCTATATTTTAGAAATTTTTTTTAGAAATTGATGGTAGATGAAAAAAAATGTTACTTATTTGGACGCAATCAGCAATTGAATGATTTTTGTATTGATCATGCATCATGCTCAAGAGTTCATGCAGCTCTTGTATATCATAAACATCTCAATAGGGCATTTTTAGTTGATTTAGGCAGTAGTAAGTATAATAAATTAGTAAAAGAATGTTAATGTATAACTTGGCAGAATACATTATTATTATTTTAGCTCATGGGACGTTCATTGGAAATTTACGTTTAGAAGGACACAAACCAACTCAGTTGCCTATCGATAGCACTTTTCATTTTGGAGCATCAACTCGCTATTATATTATACGGGAACGCCCACAGACTGGAACAAGAACAATCATTGATGAGTTAGAGAAAACTAGCGAAGATCAAGATGCTAGTGGATTACTAGGCTTGCCTGAAACTGAAACAGAACTTGATGTAAATACATTAAAAATATCAACATTTTTACACACACACACACACACACACAAAATATTCTTACATCAATAATTTTATTAATTTGTATAGAATCTGACGGAATTTAATACAGCTCACAATCGAAGAATTTCCATGTTGGGCATTACAGATGATGAGATTCATAAGCCTAATAGGAAACGTAAAAAAAAAGGTATTACGTTTAATGATGACGAAGAAGTTATCAATCCCGAAGACGTTGATCCATCTGTCGGAAGATTTCGAAATCTTATTCATACAACAGTTGTTCCTAGCAAAGTTTGTATTGTTTTCATATTATTTTTATGTTCAGTCGTTATTAATAACGGTAATCAATAATCTATCAATATCATATGTCTTTCCAGAGAATGAGAATGGAAGGTGGCTTAATATCATTATCAGAAGATACTCACAATCCTCTAAAACATATGCAACCAACATCAACTACTTCGCAACTGTACCATGACTTGCCCCCAGAACAATTCTCCTCTTCAGTAACTCAAAATAGCTTGTTTTCACCTGGTTTAACGTCTTTAACATCTAGGTTAGGTATTGCTTTACCAAATCCCGCTCCAGAAGTGGAGATGACAACTAATCAAATGCAGGCTGAAGTAGCTGAACCTGCAGCTGAAACTTCAAATACGGTTGAAGGATATATGTTAGAACCAAAGAAGAAGAAATATGCAAAGGAGGCATGGCCAGGAAAGAAGCCATTACCTTCTCTCTTAGTTTAATGTTTTCCTAGAAAATAACTTTTTTTACTCTACAAATGTAACTTTAAGTGTGTCTGCTAAACGAATTAATCTTTCATTGAAATATCGTATGAAACAGTAAGCTTATATTCATAAGCAAAATTATTCCAATATTATATTTAATACTTTATGATTTCTTGAAAAGTATAATTCAATTCTTGTAAATACTGTTAAAATTTTTCAATAAAAAGTTTCTGTAAATATTTATATGTAATTAAGAGTAATTAAGAGATGCACATGAACAACTTTTAATTCACGTGCTAAAGTATTTTTACAAAACTAATTATGTAAATGACTACTGAAAAATGTATATCTTTTCAGTATTTTAGATTATAAACAGTATATCAGCTCAAGAAACTCACATGAATTTGAGTTGAAACATCTCAAATTTACTTTTGTATTCATTATAGAAATTTAGTGAAAAGGCTTGGGTAAAATTTGAGTTTTTATTATTAAAAAATATTAAACATGGTTTAATTTGTAATTAAGATGATTAAAAAACTGTAAATTATTTCTAAAATAATTGTAATTTTTCTATTAAAAAAGTCTTTGATACTATCTATTATAAATCGAGCAATGAGGAGAATATTATGATTTGCAATTTTGAATAAAAGAAATATCCAAACTAAAAAACGATTTTGACTACGTTAACTCATTTATATTTTAAATAGCTTCATATTTAGTTTTATTTTAACAAGTGTACACTTGTGTGGTAACAGATTAAGACGGAAAAATTGAAAAATGAAAGGAATTCGGAACTTTACAAAATTTATTATAAAACTGACGAATAAGGTGTATATTGAACGCATATTGCAGATTATAATATCAACTATTGAAATAAATTCAGTTTCTGATATTATTTTCTAAAATAATAAATGAAAAATGTATGTCTATAATAATTACAAGTTATGATAATGTTAGAACTATCTCAGATAAGTTTTAAATCGTTTGTCAATTTTTATTATAATATAGAGTAAGGTAATAGCGTCATCGACCATGTCTTAATAGGTATATCCATCAAAGGCAATTCAAACCCAGATAATATTAATATAGAATGTTCTAGGATATGTACGTATTACACTTGCAAATAAATATATATTTATTGGCGTTGAATCATCAAAAAATAACAATATTTTAAAAGTTATACAATAAAGAAAATAACTTATTAAACGATTATCCGGAAAAATAATAATTGTATCAATATGCAATCCTGAAAAAAAGAATCGTAGAAAAATATAGGATCAGAATTACGTCCCATATGAAATTCATATGATTAATCATGGTGAATCTTCCAAAAGTTTTGTCTTCATTTCCTATTGGAAATTTTTATTTTCCAACGAATATATATAGGAATTACGATAAATTTCCGCCGTTTGTGAGAAATGATTTCTTACTGTGCATCTAGTGGAAGATAACTGAACTATGCTGTCGATAAGATTAACAATGTAGATTTCTGTTTTACTGGTTTATAAACTTATTGGATTCACTGATTGAACAATTTGAATGGTTAGATTAATATTAATTAAAACATTTTAACAATAAAATTCGAATTATAACGAAGAATAATTTATTAATGCAACATTTACTTACTGACGCAGAGCAAATATACAATATATAATTTTGATTACACATAAAAAATAAATTATTATAAATTGAAACGTAAATCGAACAAAACTATTAAAATCAATTAGTTTGTTGCTTCTTGACATTACAATAATATATTGAAGAAATATCTTTTAACGGTAATATTGGTAGATATTACAATAACTTAAGCACATACTGAACTCTGTGCACACATCGTAAATCCTAAGTAAAAGTATAAAGTTTAAGCACATATCATTTCATAGTGTCGTATAATTTCATTTCCATTAATTGATTATAATTCAAAATGAAAACCTCTATAAAAATTAATAGGGTACTGCACTCTGGCAGCTTAATGTATCGTTAAATAGGAAATTAAATAAATCAGGAAATAACTGACACAAAGTAAATTCTCGTCAAAACAGTAGCAGTATTATTATATTAGCAGTTGCATTGCGTTCGCAGGAGGCTGAAAAGTGCATTCGAACAATTGATATTAACTGAAGCTCGCCGCGAAAATCATAAACGCGGAATAAATTTAAAATAAACGGTGCGTGAGCTTAACAGCGTAAAAATTGAGCCATGAGCCCGGAATATAATCGCCGTACGCTGTTCTCTCTCTTTCTCTCTCTCTCTTTCTCTCTCGCTCTTTCGCGATGAAAAAGTAAAACGTGTTGGTCGGCGAACTCGCCCTCCGCCCCGTAAATCCGCGGAAATGGAAAACTTTTAACGACTGGCAGCCGGCGCGCGCTCGTGTATCGAGCCGGGGATGAGATCGCAGCCGCGAAAAGAGCTTTGCCCGATTGGGAACAATGCCGACGCGGGAAAAATTGATAGACCACTTCCGCCATTACCAAGCTGCGAAGCGAAAACGAGAGAGATAGATAGAAAGTGGACGATTCCAATTTGGCCGAGCTTCCTTCTTCGTCCTCGTCGCCACATTTTCCCCTACCGCACTCGTCTTTTGTCACGAGCAACGGCCCTTCTCCCCGCACGCTCTAATAAGTATGCCAACTTTATAGAAAATAAAAGTCCGTCTCTGCCCTCTTCGCGATACCGGCTTGTTGCACTCTTCTATATACACTTCACTCGCAGTGCGTATAGCGGAACTGATTCCCATTTGCTGATAAAAGCGGTCGAGGCAAGAGATTCGCATCTTTGGCAGAGCTTTCTCTTCTTCCCCTCCCGGTCCTTTAACGCAAACTCCGCTGACCTTCGGCTAGTTGACAAAAAGTTCCGTCTGCAGCTGATTCCCAAAGAAACATCCTCTTCGGACTAGCCACGTCTCTCCACGTCTCGCCCATTTCATAAATCAGTCGATACAGTCAATAAACAACGAAGCCCGACTGTTGACATTGTTGTCGCGAGGGTACAGCGCAATAAAAGTAGCAAAAAATGCGAAAACCAAAGCGCACTTGATTAATCCAATAAGAAATCCCAATAGCCCTGGCCACATCGCGAGTGCTGCAATTCGCGGCGTGGCGTAATAGCATACAGTGCGGGTAAACGAGATCAATTCCGGTAGAGCGCTCGCGTATACATACTCGCGCACACAGCTAATTAGCCTTACATTACCGTGAAATAGCATGGACCAGTAATTGAGATTGGCAATTTCGGACGTGTGCAGTGTGCTCGGCTACCCGGTTTCTCGCGTTTGGCAAGAACCAAGGCACAACGGACCAAGACACACCTACGCAGAGTTGGCTCAAGGGAGCACGTCTTTTTTTCTCTTTGCTTGATATTTTCTCAAGGGAGACGCGAGAAGGCAAAATGGTTTTCGATAGCTTCCCACCTTCATCCCCGACCCCTTGTACGCCTCACTGCGGGTGTATTTGCCGTTCATTATTAATTGCTCGCAAGACCAAACACGAGATTCTCTCGACGTTTGCTGGGCAGACTCTGGCCCGTGCGGGCAAGTATCGGCTGTTCCAATGGCTTGTCTCACGCTCAAAAACCGCTCGTGTCATTTGCATTGGGCTGCTCCGTGGAAGATTTAGGGCTCGTAGGGCGATACGCTGAATAAATCACGACTCGAGGCTGCGGGCGCGCGCGCGTAGCCGAGGATATACAATCGAATGAAAAGCCAGTTCCGAGACGATGCTTCACGAGTATCAAAGACTTTCCAAAGCTGCACGCATCCGCATTCAGACCCCATCTCGCGCACGCACTTGGCTGTATATTGTATATTTTTTGGCGACGCAACTTTCACGGCTGTTGTAGTCGAAAAGACGGCAAAACTCTGTGGGTCGCGAGGCTAAGCAGGAACTCGTAATAGCAAAGAAAAGAAGAAAAACTCATAAAAGCTCGGGGAAAGCACTTTCGTATGGCTAACCGGTCATTCCGTAAATTACGCGACCCGTTGAGAAACTAACGTAAACCACGTAACACGAGTACGGGCGAACGCGCAGATGCCGGCCAGTGTCAATAATTCACCATCGAGCCACGCGTCTTCGAGAATCTGGCCTTTGTCAAATCATGTTCTTTTTTTCACGCGCGTATACGCCAGTCGAATTTATCATCCGGAAACAAGCGACCCCCTCCCTCTTTTTTCTGTCTAGCCCTCGCGAGATGACCCACATTTCCTTGCTCTCTCGCGACTTAGCCCAGATCTCTAAATAGCCCGTATATGTGCACCGTACATGTAAACGTAGACGATATGTTCTACTCCGCAGGCACATAAGGATGACCCCGTTCTTTGTCATACAGTCGGAGGGATAAGACGAATGCCAACGGGACTAGAGCTCGCGTTGAATTGGAAAAAGGAGGGCGGCAGAGGAGCGTTTAATCTAGCGCCGTGCCGGACACTGCTCTATCGTGGCAAATCGAACGGAATTCAATGAGAGGGTCGGAGTGCCATAATAGCTGGAATCCGGACGGGCTGTCGTGATGCAAAGCGAAATCCGCGACTGCACGCTAATCGATACGAAAGAAGCTCCGAAAGCTATTCGAACACAGCCCTTCCTCCTTGTTAAGCTGCGGAAGCTTTCCTCTTCGCGCCACTAGCCCACCTGCGCGTATAGGTCTCTGTATACGTGTGCAAGCGTGATTTCCGAGCCTGCCAAGGGGACGATCGAGGTGGAGGGCGCTGGTAACACATTTTTCCGAGGGCCTCTTAATTACGCGCCGCTCTCTCGGCTCGGCGTGTATATTGATTTTATTCGTGTAACGACGCCGTGCCAATAAATCTCCGAAAGGGCGACAAAACGCGTGCGCGCCCTTTTGTTTTTTTTTCCCGTCGCGCGACAAGGAAGGCAAGTTGGGCATGATTTGTACGAGCACTCGCGCACGGCTCCTATTGATTTTGATGGATCGGCCATTGTTATTGGATCCGCCGTGATTCATGGCACCTGGCAACGAGCGAACGAATCGCGAGTCTTAATTCGCGGCGTGATTGCGTAGGGATGCGTCGCAGCTTGGCCGCCAAGAGGAAATGACTATAGGCTGGACGCGTGGCGCGGAAGTAACGGGGCGTGACCGTAGGGCGAATCGTCACCCGCGTTCGGCGCCGGCCTCCAGAGCTCCTTCGCGATGCGCCTGTACGTGTATGCGCGCGCGCGTATATCCCAGTTTTAACTAATATTTTATGGGCTATCGATGCTCGATGTAACGCGGGGTGCACGTACGTCAAGCCTGTGTTTTTATTGCGCATTGGATCTCACGGACATTTTCCTGGGATGCGAGCTGAAATTGTAAAGTTGTCTGAAACGCTGAAACAATGATAAAAATGTAGGCGTCATGTCACGTCTATACTCTTAGCGCATCAGATGATTCCATATTTTTTATTAAAAAATATTTGTACCGAGCTGAATTAATAGTGACTTAATGCGTGCATGTCCAAATCACATTCATATTTGCCATGCGTGCGGACATTTCGCTTGTAATCGGAATGTTAGAACTGAATGGAGAAACTACGAGTACGTGAATTTTGGCGATGTATCGTATATATTTTGACGTGTGAAAAAAGCGAAGTAAAGTATAAGGAAAAATCGGATCGACAAAGAGCTAGCGAGTAAAGCAAGTATT